ATTCATGTCCCGTTCACTCGATTTCCGCCTCCGCTCATGTCCCGATCACTCGGTTACCGCTAACACTCCACCTTACGCCTCCGCTTCGCTCGCCTCCGCTCACCCCTTTTACCGCTTTACTTACCGCTTTGAATAGATTAGAGATTTAGATCTGTTGCAAAGCAGATCCTTTACTGAAATTTTCGTCGCTTTTTCAAGATCTACACCTTTTAAAATTCATGACTTAAAATCCTTGTGTTCGACCTGGAAACTCACCAGTAAAAAGAGTATAAATAATTGTGATAACTACTCAGGGTCTGCAACCACAAATTTTTCTATATCTGACCGCTTTTCTATAAACATCCACTCACTGATTTTCGAATATAAATTCCCTGTGAACTAGTACAAATTACAACGTACAAATTTTTGTTATCAGGGTGCTACTTTCCATTGCTGCTATGCATAATCTCAAGATTCACCAAATAAATGTGAATACTTTTTAAATGGTAAATTAGAAGAAGTGTATATGGAACAACCTGAAAGGTTTGTTTTTCCCAATCAAGCAAAAAAAAGTGTGTAAACTTGTTAAGTCTCTATACGGACTGAAACGATCACATTTGGAATGTCACTTAAAATTTGATAATGCAATGCTATCGAATGACTTCCAGATTAACAAATGTGACAAATGTGTCTACATAAAGAACTCCTACTAGATTTCTTATAGCATGTATATATGTAGACGATTTTTTTATTATAGAAAGTAATACGCTTAATTGAAGAAGTTAAACGCATGTTAAGTCGGAATTTTCATATGAAAGACATGAGAGTCGCCGATTTGATTCTTAGAACGTGAGTCCTGAGAAACAACGAAGGGATTGTGCTATTATAGGATGCTATTACTCTAGATATTGATTACAAAGTCTAATTTTTTATTATTTTGTCCCCTATCTTATTTTTGCAATATTTCATTAAAATAATGAGCTTACTTTTTTTGATGTTTTTATCGTTCTTAAACCATTGTCATAAATATGTTTATGAAAACTTGCCATAAAAATAAAGAAAATAATGTTGTATCTGTCGAAATGATAGACCTAAAGGCACTATTGTAGCACCCTAATCGAGGATGATAAGGGAAGAATTCATAAATATAATTACAATAATGGGTCTAAAACTAACTTTGACTCCTTAAACAAGACTTATGCTCCAACTTTTGTGAGTACCTATGATCCCAAAGTAATGTAATGATGGGTTCGAGAAATGGAAAGCCACCTCAAGCGAAAAATACAACAGAAACAACGCCAACATGGGAAATAAAGGTTAGAGCAAGAAGTTTGGTCCTAAGAAGGTATTGAAAATTTTACGGTACAAACACAAAAAAAAAAAAAACAATCAGATTTTAGAGGGAGTAATTTACCATACTAAGTTCGAATCTATAAAGAATGAAAGCCGGAGAAAAACACTTGAAACTTGTCTTCCTACTAGACTTCCGCACCACCTTCCTACTAGACCCCGAGAGAGGTCCCGTAGGTTTCCTTGACCTTTGCATCGCCTTCCTAAACTCTAAGAAAACTCCGACAAGCTTCCTTCCGCATTGCGTTCCTAATGGATTCCATGGAAACTCCGGCAGGCTTCCTATATTTATTTCTATTGGATCCCGATAAAATTTCCACAGGCTTTATGCACTTTCAAAGTGTCCTCCTGCTGAACTCTAAGGGAGATCCCGTAAGGTACTCAGATGAACATCCAATAATTTTGAATCCAAAAAGAGAGTTTACAACCACAGGTTCGAAGGAAGATGGGGGTTTGGAAGATAGTTTGGTAATCATTGTTAACAATTGAAATTTAGAGTAAGCTCAAAACAACAGCAGCAACAACATCAATAATAATAATAATAATAATAATAAAAGGCCAATTCGAAAGGCTCTTGTCTCTATTATAGTCAATGAAGTCGTGTATATTTCCTCCGTTAAATAGTGATCCAATGATTTTCTCAAAAGATGATAAGTAAGGAGAAGAAAGACTGTGTGGAGCAAAAGAATTTATTTGGGGCATGCAAAATTCAAACAAATTTATTTGGGGTGTGTTTGTTTGTGGGTTTTAGTTTTTGGATTTGAATTTTTGAATAGTAAAAAGTTGAATTTAAATAGTTATATAAATAGAGGTTGATGTGATATTTTTAGAGTAAAATAAATTTTTAGTATAATATAAAAAAAATTAATTGGAAAAAAATTGAATAGTAAAAATCTGTGATAAAATCAACAAAAGCTAGGAATGACGCACAAACTGATTTCAAAGCTTAATTTCACCTAAAAATCGAGGAAGAAACCAATTTTGTAAAATGTTACTTCATAAGAAGCCCCATTATAAAATTCAAGAAGCCCGAGAAATTTCCTAGGAAGCCTCAAGAAGTCCATAAAATTTTCCAAGAAGTCTGAAGAAGCAATCAGGACCCAAATGAAGAAAAAAAAATAAAAAATCCATATAATTATTTATTTTGAAGGTTTTAGACTAGAAGCATATGCACCAAATTGAATTACCTTATGAGGAGGGCAATAAGAGGAGATTGAATTGAGCTTTTTTGGAAGGAATAAGATAAGAGATTTAAGAGAATTTATTGTGAGACTTATGGAGCTTTAATACAAAATTTTTTGGAGTAAGTAACAAGTAAGATTTAATAGAACTTAAAGGAATTTGTAAATATGTATATATATATATATATTGAAAATTATATATAATAAATAATATTGATTTCAATTTTAAATGATAAAAAACCAAATTTTATAAAGCTTCGGGGAGTTAAAAATAGAATGATTTGAAAGAAAAAACAACACAACACAAAAATTTATCCTTTTCTTGATCATATATATATATATATAGATATTTCTTTTTTACTATCTTATTCTTTATTTTCTTGTCTTCCACACACATTGTTCTTACATACTATATCATTTACTTATGTTTTTCATTCCTTCTACTTTTACTGACATTTTTTTTATGTATTTTTCGGTTTTTTTCTTTTCTTTTTGTTTATTGAGTCCAATCAACACGAGAACAATCAGAATGTATTTTTAAATAAGTTAGAAAATTCAAAATTTTAAAATTTATGACCGGCTTTAATCAAGCTGTTTATCCGGTTTGGAAGTCAAGACAACAAAAATATATTTGACATAATAACCTAATAGTACAATGGAGCATCATAAATATTTTTATATTCCTCGCATGTAGTAGAAATATAAATAGATGGATAAATAAACATAAGAAATTGAAAACCCTAATAAAATGAAAGACGAATTAAAACTACAAAAGCTAGAAAGACAATTGCAACATAGAGTATAAGCATAAAGGGAATGGAGTGCGGAATTTGTGCTTTTTAAATACTATTGTTATATTTTTTTCATAATTAATATTGTACTATTGTGATATAATAATTATTATTTTTTTGAATTTCTTCCTCTTCTTCTTCCTTTTATTTCTTCTCTTCTCTTCTCTCTGTTCACTATTTCTAGTTGTAGGGTTAGTATGTATACATATGAGTCAGTGCAATAGCTGAAAATTCCATGGAATTAGAAAACAATAAATGATAAATAAGCCGTTTGTTTGTGAAGGTGAAGAACAAACAAATAGAAAATTCGTTCCTTGTATATTTCGGCATATACTCTGCCATGTTTTGTTTGCTTTTGCATCTCGATTTGAATTTTAAAAATGGCGTATGAGAGAGGGAGTGATCCAACACAGATTACTGACTTAACGAACAATTCACAGCCTTCAGCAACCAAAAAGGGAATGGAGTGCAGAGTTTGCGTTTTTTAAATAATAATATTATTCTCTTTCATAATTAATATTGTATTTTTGTAATATAGTAATTATATTTTTTTAAAAAAATTCAATGTTAATATATTGTGTAATATATAAGCTAGTTAAAAGCACTGACATTAAATAACGACAACATCCACTGCAATAATAAAAAAGCATTAAAAAACACTGCAGTATTTATATTTATAGGCTGATATTGTGCTCTTTAAATACTATTATTATATTATTTCATAATTGATATTGTGAATTATATTTTTTGGAATTTTCAGTATTTTCTTTTTTTTTTTTTTGTATCACTGGCTTAATTCCTTTATTATATAGTATTAATATTTTTGTATTTAAAAATGTTTAATTTTTTGTTTTTTAATTTGTTGTAAAAAACCAAATATAATTTAAACAAAAAGCACTTATATAAAATAGTGCTCTTTAAAAATTATTATTATACTTTTTCATAATTAATATTATGCTTTATAATAATTATACCTTTAAAATTTTCAGTATTAATATTGTGTTTACCAATAGGAATAGTCAATTAATTTATTATAAAGTAATAATACTTTTGAATTTAAGAATGTGGTTTTGAAAGTAAAAATAAGTTTTTTTGTTTATTAAAAAAACCAAATATAATTTAATTAAAAACACTGATGTTAAATATGAGTATCCAATAAAACTATAAACAACACTACAATGTTATGTTATAAGTTGATATTGTACTATTTTACAACAGCTCCTTTGCTATCTCCCATCCTACTATTATTTTTTTTTTTTTTTTTATTCAGATAGATTAATTCAACCTTCAAAAGTGTATAGCAAAATTACTAAATTAATCTTGCTAAATTAATCTTATTCATTATTGACCATTAGATATTAATTATAAAGTGGACACATAATATTATTACAAACAACACTCTATGTATGTTAATATAATACAAATACAACACAAAAACAAAACACACATGCTACACAATTGATTTTAGAACATGATATACTTGTATACAACACACTTATTATTAAAAAACAACACATATCTTTATTATTCATAACACATATCTTTACGATGATGTGAAAAATCAGCACAGTAACCATCCCCCGTTATAAAAATTCAATGCTGCATATTTAATCAGCACCGAGCTTACATCAGCACGGTAACAACAAGGAAATATATATATTATATATAATAGTATATATTAAACAAGGCAAGCATCACATTCTTGGGGTTTCAATTAATTTATAATAGATAATTTACATTAAGATACGATAACAAACAGGTGAAACAATGTGAATGTGCAGCCACCCCGTTTGCAAGGGGAAAGCACCAAAAGTTGTGAAGTTTTAATAAGTTTATGCAGGCAGCAGGCAATTCAATCGGTAAAGACTACAGCTACAAGTTGAACCTGCTACAGCTGAAGGTACCTGAATGAAGGAAGGAGTTATGTTATATGGCTGGCAGGCAGGCAGAGGAATGACAGTGCTAGCGCCGGTTGGGCTTGGATGTTGATCGTGTAGCATCGTGTGCTTGCGCCCTCTTCCTCGCCATCTTTGGATCTCCACTCATCTCCTGTGCCATGCTTGCCAGATCCTCGCCGAATAAATCCACAAATGTTTTCTGTAGATCCTCCATGCTCTCTTCCTTCCATTTGTTCAGCCAACATAAATCACTCCCATGATTCATCAACTAGATTTTAATGAAATTCCAACAACCATAATATAAATATATATACATATATATAGACTGACTGACTGATACTCTTACTTACCTTGGCGCCCACATTTTGCTCCATCATATTCATTAAATCGTGCAGGAAGTCCCCCATCCCCTACACCAAATTGTCACAAGTCCACACTTGTTGAATTATCTCTCGCGTCATACCAGCAGACTTAATTACTTACTATATAACCTACCTAGCTACAAAAGGCCATTGCTATTATTCGGAAATTCTCAAGTCGGTTGGTTTTAGTTTATATTAGGTTGGGCTCAAGTTTACGCAACTAATCCTTCCTAACAGGTGCTTGACTATGGATATTTATGTTAGTTATAGCTTGTTTTTTGTTAAATGAATTCAGTACAGACCTACAATTCACAGCAGGGGAACCAACAAAGTCACTCTCAGCTCAGCTTAATAAATGATATGGTAATCTTCAAGCTCAGACTCTTCCCATTTATTATATAACGGAATTCTAACAAATGCATGCCCGCGCAAAAGCATTTATATATCCAATATAAAGATGAATATAATACTCATTTGTTGAAACAATCACTTCCATTATTCATATCGTAAGGAATATTATCAAATACATATAAATGAGTGTAATTCGCGTGCTCCAACTTATTTACGGGCTCTTTGTATAAATCAAATATCAATAAAATTTGATACAAAATAAATTATTCTTGCTATATTAAAAATTAATCGATCACACTGGGATTGATAATAATCCAACTTATTCATGTAGTATTGCTTTTTCATTATACATCAAAATAATCAAAACATCAGATAAATATATTCCTATCAGATCTTTTATTGTAATAATCCACTGATCCTCTATTTTTTTATTTTTTCGGTTTTTGTAGTTGAATTTGATATAATAGATCTTTTGTTTAATGAGTAGTTTTATCTTTTGAATGTCTGCTGCGATTGGAGTTTAAATACCTTTTGTCTTAGACACAAATAGGAATATTCTTCCGTATAGTTAAAAAACGATTATGCAAATGAAAGTTAGAATAAGATTAGTGATTCCATCTGCAAACCAAGTGTACGACTAAAACTATTTTCGTAACTATTTCAATGTACAGTTTCAGTTGTTTGCGCGGAAATAATAATTTTAATTTACAAAGTTGGTTAAATGGCACAGTTATGAAGATATATTTTACAGGGTGAGGCAAAAGCAAAAGGGATCGTGGCACTCACTATCAATCAAATTCATAAACGAAGAAAAATATCTAAGATAGTATTTTGTTGGAACAAACGATCGCACCTCATCTTCCTCGAAGAGATCCAGGAACCCGGCGTCGTACATTGACCTTTTCCCCTTGTCCGATAATACTGCGACGAAGGAATTCCAGAGCATCCGATCAAGCAATCAATCGACCTTCAAAACACTTCCATTGCAGTAAAATTAAATGCGAGAAAGAGAAGCAGCAATCCAAACCTGAATAAGCCTCCTGGATTTTCTGGAAGCGGCGCTTGGCTTCTCCGGCGGCAGAGGGATTCTTCGCCCACCGATCCGGATGCCATTTCTTAACAACACCAAAGAACAATTAGGAACACGCAAAGACGACTTTTAAAAAATAAGAAAGATAACATTCTAACTGCAACTGAAGGAATCAATATCTACCAAAGCTAGCTTCCGATAAGCTGAGCGAATATCAGAGGAGGAGGCATCCTTGCGAACCCCTAGAACGGAGTAGTAGCAATACGACGCAGCGTTGGAACATCCTTCTCGATCCATACGAGCTTCAATCTTCCAGCAACAACCGATTAAGGAATTCGCTGGACGAAAAAGCAAGGCGATCTACAACCGCAGAACTGCAGCGATCACCGTCGGATGGAAAAGCAGAATTTGGGACAAGGCTAGGCTACTGCATTAGGAGTAATACAGAACAATACGCAGGGAGGGCGGAAGAAAGAGAAAAATATCTCAAGAGGAGAAAGAGAGAGGGACGAAACCTGCCGGGCGGAAGAAGATTCGAGAAATAAACAAGATATTTTTTTTAACAGATTTCGAATTTGACCCTGGAGATTTCTATATTTTCGTTTATGCCATTCAGATATTTTTTAGGAATGCATTACTTCCTAAATATAAATAATTACGGTTGGTAATGGTATTTAAAAGATACGATTAAACTTGTATTACTTGTATTTTATATTGTTTAATATTTTAGGGTGTGTTTTTTTAGGGAAGTTTGGGGAAAGTTAAGTTTGGGTTTGATTTTTATTTGAATTTTGAGATGAGTTTAAATTTTGTTGTTTCTTTTGTGTTTGGGTTTGGTTGGGGTTTGGGGAGTTTTAATGTGTATTAATTTTATGGATAATAAATAAAATAATATAAATGTATATAAATTTAATTGATAAAATTTATACTGTATGATTTGATTATGAATTTATATTATCCACAACATATATATATTTAAATTTTTATTTATTTGTATTATAAAAATTTTATTCTCTACAAAATAATATATATTGTATATATATATTTTTTATTTAATTATAATAAATATTAAATAAAATTTTAAATTAAAAAAAAAAAAAAAAAAAAAAAAAAAAAACAGGTTTGGCGCCGGGGTGTGTCAGTCCTTTTGGAGTAGGTGTGGTCTCGCGCCATTTGGCTCCTCAACAGTGGACAAACAGTATATTTTTCCAACTTATACTTCGTTGTTGTTGTTGGGATGTCAAATGGGGCTCGTTAACTATTTTGGATTTGCTTTTAACCAAACATGCCGTTATAATTTATTTAGATAATTTATTTATTTTTATTTTTTACTATTAAAAAATTAATTTTATATCAAAATATCGTATTGATATCTATTAATATAATATTTAATAATTATTCAAAAATTATTATCAATACTCAAACTCAAAATATGAACTTCAACCAAACATATTATTAAATTTATTCATCGAAATTTTTCAATAAAAAATATTTAACCACACTCTTATATTTAATTTTTATTGTATTATACTATTAAAAATTAATTCACATTCAAAATATTGTATTAATACATATAAAAAAACTAAATATTCAAATTATTATTTTTTTAATTATTCAAAATGCAAATCTAAAATTCAAATTGCTAAACATAACGTTAAAGTTCATTATTTATGGAATATGTATTTTTAAATATTACTCCCTCCGTCCAAGCTAAAAGTATACAATTACTTTTGGTGCGGAGATTAAGGAATAATAGTATTTTAATTATAATGGGTAAGTAAAAGTAGTAAAATGACATTTTTGCTCTTATTTTTTTGGTATAAAAGTAATGATGTGATGTAAAGTAGGGATATTTGTGAAAAAAATAGGGTATTTAATAAAATGGTTACTTTGTAATTGGACGTTCCAAAATAGAAATATGTATACTTTTTGACCGGACAGATGGAGTAAAAGCCAGATTTTTTTTATTTTTTAAAATTTTCAGCTTGGTCTGACTGAAGTTCAATTTTTCATATGATGCCTGAGTCAAATTTTTTAATTTTTTAGTTATATTTATTTTTATCAACTCTAATTAAATATAATTAAAAATAATTTATTGAAAGGAAAACCTAAATATATTAATTTGAATTAATTAAAATTTAATCTTTGTTAAAATTTGTTAATTTAGTTTTTTCTTTTTAAGTGAAAGATGAGGCATAATTGGATAGAAAAACAGAGGAAGTAGATATTGTTGACTAAAATAATTTTAAATAAAATTTTAAAATAATTTTTTATTTTAATTTTATCCATATATATAATATTAATAAAATTAATCCAAAGTTAAAATGAAAGAGATGGTGAAGAAGATTAATTAACATTTTTAAAATATTGAAAAAAAAAAGGATATAACCGAAGGATTCTACATTGTCTTCCTATATATATAGTATATAGATTAGTAAAAAATGAGTTTTGTGAATGAATTTTTTTTTTTTTTTTTTTTTTGGCATATAGACAAATATGCTTTCTTTCATGCTGTAGCAACCTTACTTTTTATAGCATTCGTAGGTTGCAGAAAGGTTGTCTGTGTAATCATGTTGCAGTCTGAATTTATGGGTTTGATTTTATTTATGGTGTTCAATCTTTTAAATGCCCACAAGAGTCAAACATGACAGTTTGAGGAGGGTCAGACTCGTGTTGAATCATTGAAGAACACTCTATCTCATTTCATGCAAAGAGAAATTAATGTAAGGTGTGTTCTTTCCAAAGTTGCATGATATATACAACCAAAGGAGAAAAAATTTGGTAGTGAGTGAGGTTTGAGAGCCAAAATTTAGAGAGATAAATTATTATGTGTGCTCTCACACCCTTCTCCCCATTTTTTCCATATTTTGAATTGTTGTTTAACACTAAATCCCACCAGAGAAGTCGACGGAGATCGAAGATAATGGAGTTCCAACCGGAGAGGATGATCAAGCTCTGAGCTGCTCTGCTGTATGGTCATTGTCAATACGCGTTTATGACAACGTGAACCTTTTGAGGTATTTTCATAGGTTAACCATGATAGCTTTTTGGGTTGAAGGAGTTGTGGTTGTTTTTGTCCTTAATCAGCACTGATTTGTGGAATATCTCCGGAATTGGTATCTCTTGGATATAGATTTGTTGAGAATCGAACCGGGTCAACAAACATTTTGTCTCATTGTTTTTTATGTTCTGAATTATCTTTCGTTGTTAAAACGTTGTTATAACTGTGAACCGCCCACGCTTCGGGAGTTGGCCCTTTAAAGTGTTCGAAGTTGTTTGTTCGATAAATCACTTTCCCAATATCTGGTATCAGAGCGGTGTTCTCTAATTCGTTGAGTAGATCTGGTCACAGTTGCAGACATGGGCAAGGAAGGACGTTCAACATCAAGACCTCTATTGTTCAATGAGACAAGTTACCAAAGTTGGAAGAACAAAATGGAAGCTTTTCTCATGCTACAAGGTGAAGACGTTTCTGATGCTGTTGAGTGTGCATGGTCTCATCCTATGAAAACCATCCAAGATGAAGATGGTGTTACTACTCTTGTGAAAAAACCGAAAAAAGAATAGACGTTGAATGAAAAAGCTGATGGAATAGCAAACTTGAAGGCCCTATTTTCAATTTTTAATTGTGGATGAAACTCAGGGGAAACTGATATCAAACTGAAAAATTGCCAAGAAAGCTTGGGATAATCTGGAAAATGCATTCGAAGGTTCAATGCAAGTCTGAGAATCTAAACTATATCATGTGGAGACATTGTTCGAAGGAATGAAGATGAATGAAGACGATACAATCGTTGTTTACTATAATCGCTTCATGGATGTTGTTAATCAAGCAGAAGCTCTTGGAATGCACTTTGAAGAAAAGAGGTTGGTGAGGAAGATGCTTAAAAGTCTCACAAAAAATTTCAGGGCAAAGGTGATTATGCTCGATGAACCACCAAAGTTGAAAAATATGACGTTGGATTAATTATACGACACTTTGGTGAGCTATGAAATGAATTATCTTGAAGATGAAACTTCAAAAAGCTTAGCCATAAGTTTGGAAGATATGAGCTAATCGAATCAAATGAGGAAATGACATTTCTGAGTCAGAAACTTTCGAGGATGATAAGTGAGAAACATGTAACAAAGATGAAATATTGGAAACTTCAGAATCGTGGTGCTTATCAGGGTGGTGTTAGTACTTCTATCTCACAACGGAAATACTCTAAACAAAATCCATCAAATTACAACAAAGCCAAAAGAGAAGTTTGATGGTGGATTCACGAAGAAGTTCACTGTGTCACCTAAACCTGAATCTGTCTAAGAGTCAACATGCTATGGATATGGAGGAATTAGTCACATCAAGTTTGAATGTCCAACAGTGAAGAAAATGGAGAAAAGAGCATATCAAGTAATATAGAGTGATAATGATGAAGAGGAAATTGTATGTGTCGAGGAGCAAGCTGAAAATGATGAAGTTGTGGCTTTCATTGCTGATGTTAAAGAAAACAGTAAAGAAATTGATGTCTCCGCTATAGAAACTACTGAAGAGTCAAGAGAATTAGATGCAGATGAGTTGATTGAAGCCTATGAGGAGATGGTGGTAGAACAAAAGAAATCTGTTTTGAAGAACAAAGAGCTACTTGATAACATCTATCGACTGGAAGCTCAGAATGATAAATTGGAAGATGAGATCAAAATTCTGAAAAAGGATGTTGTTGTTAAATCAATTGAATCATATGCTTTGAGGAATGAAAATCTGAAGCTAAAGGATGAGAATGACCGTCTTCGGAAAGAAAAAGAAAAGTTGGATGAAGTACTTTCAATTGGGAAACCTTTTGGTGATCACAAAGGAGTTGGATTTTGTGAATCTTCACACAGCAAACCCACTATATTTGGATGTCAAACATCCACTTCCAAGGAAGAAACCAGCACCTGTTCAAACTCAGAAACCAGAAGGGAACAAGAAAAAAAAATGGGACTGGAAACATCATAAGAAATCAAATTACTGGAAAACAGTCATCTTGACCTACTGACTGCAACTATTGCAGATATCCTGGACATGTGGTTGAGATGTTTTACAAGTTAATCAAGGATGTAATAAATGGAAGAAACATTCGATGGCCTACTGAAGGATTGAAGCAGATTGTTAAAGTCAAATTGGTGTGGATGCCCAAGAAAAATCAAAAGGCATTGGATACGAATCGGTTTAAAAAGTTTCGACGTCATTTAGGTATGCATTCGTACCCTACTTGATTTTGCATGAATAAACTTAATAAATTTTCCAATATATTTATATTGATTGGAATATTCGTGGTGAATATTGAAGAATGAAAATAATTTGGGAATAAATATTTTTGAAAAATCCAAAAAGAAGGAATATTAAGAACAAGCTTGATTGAGCACTGACGAGAACCAGATTTGGTGCTCATTTTAGTGGAAGGGTGAATGTTCATTGCACAATCCATTGTTGATGTTGTTGCTGAGTTGCTGTTGATGCCGCGAAGTTGCTACTGCAACAAAACTGAATCCGAAT